TGACAACAAAAAGCTCTGCAATAGTGGAAAAAAAAACCAAGTTATAAATTTCATGCATCCGAAGCGCTATTTTGTATTTATCTTCATCATTTACGCCCAGCGCCGAATATTTGAAAGCCAAGGATGTAAAAGAACAGAAAGAGTTGATGAGCTATATGACCAAAAGGACATAAAAAAAAATATAGCCAAATCAGTCGAAGATTAACTTTGCCTGATGAAGTTGAAACCTTAGTTTCTTTATAATTTCAAAATTTATAAATGGACATTTGAAGGGAATTGAAAGGAACTGAAGAATCAAAACGCTGTCATAATTCCTACGTCTTCAGTTTCATTTTTGCAAGATCCATAACTCATTATAATTAATTTAAACAACAATTTATTAGATTTTTGGGGGTATAACATTTTTTTTTTAGTACCAATAAATGTTAAATATTTAAGAATTGAATGCTTCTTTTTGTAAATATATTTGGGTGTAAAAGCTTTGACCGAAGTACATTTTGTAGGAAGCGCTTCGTTCTAAAAATGTGCGTACGGTCAACGCTTTTACACCCCTATAAAAATTGCTAAAGGAAGCATTCAATACCTATAATTACATTTTTTTTTGCTTGGATCATGAAAACACTATTTCTATCAAGTTTTTCTTTTATTTACCTGTGCACTTTATTGTGGAAGCTCGTGTCATCATGAATGTTACATTTCATTTTGAAATGAAGGTTAATTTCAGAATGACGTGAGATTGCTGTTAGCCAATCAAAATAACGTATTATAATGCAACATACATACATGTAATGTAATTATATTTTAATATTCTCTAAAACAATTGATTGATAGGCAATGTTTTTATATTGGGTAATCAAGAATAAAATCTAGTTCTGGTGATCGAATTTTTATTCTATCAGATTTCAGATTTCTCTTAATGTCGGTTAACTACCAGTACTGTCTCTGTTATAAAATTGAATTTTCAGCTTCTCAGTACTAGAACCTCATATCACAAACCAAATATGATCAAATATACTTCATGTCATCTTAACTTCTGTTTATTGTCCCAGATATCCAAATAATTTTTATTAAGAAGAAAATGAAATAGATTTTTTTCTCCCCGTTTGATTTTAATCAAATATTAATCAAAATTGATATTAAATGGTATCATTTGTGCAGTTCAGTGACAGATTAAAAAAAGGGGGTACGGGGTAATGTCATCATACATATGTCGTTGATACAAACAAGAAGATCTATCATGTAAAAGTTGTGATACAACAGGATATTTTCATATGCAGGAACTGAACACAAGAATTTTACAGAATAAGCATATTTCTTACTGAATAGAGAAAAATGGCCAAAAGAATTACAGAATACAGAAATGTAGACCCCCCTCCCCTAATCCAGACTGTCATATATTATTGTGACGGATAGTTTTGTTTGATCAATTTAAATGTTTTTATTTTCGAAAAGAATATTTGTACAAGGTGTTTTTAATAAATGTAACGGACAATATATACCATGCCCTCTCATCCGACATCGTAATTTCATTTTAATGAAAGAAAGTAATTAAAAGCTTCTCTCCCTGTGCAACATGATATAAAACTCTGCCTAATGGCATGATATAAAACTCTGCCTAATGGCAGAGCAATTTTTATGGCTACTTGCATAATTGTTAAATCATATTAAATTCGGTATCAAACTTAAATTAATAATCAAAGTTTCATATCTTGAATATTGAAAACGGGTTAAAATTATTTACTTGCATTAATATTGATATAAAAACATCCGGTTCGGTTTTTTTTTCTAGATCTGAGAAAAAAGCAACTCTGTTACACTTAAACAATTGATTAATAAGAATTGTTACATGGTGTTTTCTTATATATGTCGCCTAAATTACAATGTATGTTATTGTTCTATAATTTATATATTCGCAATCCGTAATAATTATCTAATATGTTTATTTGGCATGCCATACTCGATAAAAGTGCGGACGTGATAAAAAGCACTCTTTACCAAAACGTCAACAGAGATTACATTCCACGGAGGTTACATTTAGATGATTTCTTCATTTATAAAGCATAATATGTGTATCTGAAGATAGAAGTTGTACCAAAATTAAATGTTGACACCGATATCGATCTGTTGGATGTAGAAAATTATTTTCAAAATTGGTGTTTGTTTAGAATAGACCATTCCACGGAGATTACATGCTTAACAAATCTCTGCAGTTTTCAACCTTGTTTAGTTTTTCAGACTGATATGATTTGGAATAAATGACCATTGTTATAAACAAAATTATTTATGGTAACCTTATAATCAAATTTCATTCATATCACACTCTATGTTGTGCTAAATATTTTGTCCTGCTTGGTCTTTTATTCGTTAACGGAGATTACAGGTTTTAACATTTTGACGGCCAGTACGATCACCATCGTTGTGCAATATGTACTAAACTTTATAAAAATTAAAAATATAGATAATAAAAAAATATAAAAAACTCAGATATAAGTATAACAAGCTACGGGTATATTACTCGAAGTCGTTAGTTTTGCTTTCTTGCGGTGGGACAAATTAACGTCATAAAATGGGTGCTTTAACGGAGAACCAGTGTAATACATAAATTGTATAAACAGTATTGAACAAAACATATGGAAGGCATTCAATGGCTGTCCTAATTTAATATTTTGTCTCTTCCAACTGAAAGCATTGAAGATTTGTTTACTATATTTAAAAATAACATGTTTTTGATGAATTGAGAAAACATACCAGTTTTCTTTGATGGACCTATGTCATCAGAGATTCTTCAAGACCTTATTTTTACATACAAGGGTAAAGAACTTGAAATAAAAGCTATGTATGCAACGAATAACTTTTGGCTTGTACTTAATCGTTAAAGTATTTAATGGTGTGCATGATAATTTTTGTGGGAAATAGGAATCACCTTACTCGCCGAGCCATTTCTGAAGAGTACGATGATGAAGACAATGTCTGAACAATATATATTAAGTCGGAAATATTGGGAAAATTATTGTACAAATGTACTACTGTATATAACTGATGGAGTGTGGATACCATGAACTTTGACTGTTCGGATTGTTTAAACCCAAGGTCATCAATAATGAGAAGCAGGTGTTCGAAAATGTTGTGCACTTTGCACACTTTGCATGTGCACCCTTACAGCAACTTTTTCTGAGGGCCCGGGTCCTGATCCATAGTCGGTTTCCCATGTCAAAATTCCTACCCATACAATCTCAATGTTCATAACAGAAAAAATATAAGCTAACCAACAGTACTTCATTTAAACGATTTTATTCAGTTACCTAGTGGCAAACCAGTATATAATTAAACAGAAATACAACTATCTTCGTTTAAAAAAAAAAACAACGTTAAGTTCAGATATATATCTTTAAATGTACATGTAATGTAACAAATATCAATTGAAAGCAATTTCCTGTTTCGTCTTTGCATTTTTCTTGTTGCCCATTGATCTGAATTTTAAAAAAATAGGCATTTGGTGATTATATTTAGTTGGAAAAGACTCGAAAATGATTTACTATTATTAAGTTTTCATTAAAGGAGTAATTTCTTGCCTATTTCACAATTCAGACATTATTTTCTTATTTTTTATACGACTGCAAAAATTTTTTTGCGTCATATAATTCTATCATGTCGTCGTTTGCGTCGTCCGAAGACGCATTTAGTTTCCGGACAATAACTTTAGTTTAAGTCAATGGATCTCTATGAAATTTTACCATAAGGTTCAATACCACAAAAGGAAGATTGGGATTGATTTTGGGGGTTATGGTACCAACAGTTAAGGCAAAAGGGGCCAAAAATAAGCATTTTTGTAATTTTCAGACAATGGCTTGTTTATTAGTGTATGGATATCTCTGACATTTCATATCAAAAAGGGCATGAGATTGATTTTGGGGGTAATTGTCTCAAAATTTTAGGAATTAGGGGCAAAAAATAAGCATTTTCCTAGTTTCATGACAATAACTTGTGTATTAGTGTATGGATCTTTCTGAAATTGTACTACAAGGTTCCATGTCACAAAGGGAAAGCTGGAATTGAGTTTGGGGGTAATTGCTTAAAACGTTTAGGAATAAGGGGCCAAAAAACAAGCATTTTTATAGTTTCCAGACAATAACTTGTGTTCAAGTGTATGGATCTCTCTGAAATTGTACTGCAAGGTACCATACCACAAAGGGAAGGCTGGGATTGAGTTTGGGGTGATGAATCATAAGGGGGTTCAAAAAATTTGGAGGGGGGGGGGGTTTTCCTTTTTTTCCTTTTTTTTTTCTTTGGAATTTTCCATTTTAAGTTGGTTATTTTTGATTTATATATAAAAGCAAATAATAATGATATGGTTTGATTTCATCAAAAATTGAAATAATGGGGTTCTTTGATATGCTGAATGTAACCGTTTATTTAGCTTCTTAATTTTTGGTCCCGTTTTCAAATTGGTCTACATTAAGGTCCAAAGGGTCCAAAATTAAACTTAGTTTGATTTTAACAAAAATTGAATTCTTGGGGTTCTTTGATATGCTGAATCTAACCGTGTATGTATTTAGATTTTGGATATTGGACCATAATAGGTAAATTAAAAATTTTTAAGTTCTTAGACCACATTCATTCTGTGTCAGAAATCTATGCTGTGTCAAATTTTAAATAACAATCAAAATTCAGAGCTGTATCAAGCTTGCATTTTGTGTCCATACTTGCCCCAACTGCTCAGGGTTCGACCTCTGCGGTTGTATCAAGCTGCACCCAGCGGAGCATTTTATTATAACCCATCTTGAATTTTTTTTTAACCCGAATGAAAATCTGAATTATCAAACTTTGACCTCAAATTAAAAAAAAAAAAAGCACCATTTTTCCTTCCAATATCTATAGATTGGTTTGTTTTTCATACTAATGGAAAGTTATTTTAAGAAAACCCAAGAAGAAGAGACCACTATCTTTAAAATAGTTTCAATTCTATTTTTTTATTAATACAAATGTGATATTTTATCCAGGTTTTAAGGACATAAAAATATTTATGGAGTTACATCCAAATGTAATGGCCCAAGAGAGTGACTTTTTGACAAGGAGAGATATTATCAAATCAAAAATATTTAATGAAAGAAAAAAGTTCAGAGGAATATATGAGGAGAGGAAAAAGAATTATTCCTGTTAAGGTACGTTTATTTAACCTACTAATGAGAATTTAATAAATACAATAAGATAACTTATTCATTAAATTTTGATGCAATCTAAAGTTTTATATGTCAAAATTGACAAGCACTGTGTTTTAAACTATTTAGTTTATATTCGCATGCACTCTATATATTCTGGGTCTTCAAAAAACAATTTACAAAATGACCAAAATACTTGTTTTATATCAAAGCATAACACATGTAATATGTTTTGAAGACATAAATGCATTTATTGTGTCTTAGATTCAAATAAAAATCAGTCCACAATGAACCTTTCCCTTGTTTCAACTTTTAAAAATATTTAATAATTATTGGCCTGTATTATGCTTTAATGATGACCTTTTTACCCGAAATTCATATCCTCAATTCCTCAGCATGAAACAGAGATATGGTGTACCTGTAGACTGTTCTTCAGCCTTACACAGATATATGGTGCACCTATAGACTGTTCCTCCGCCTGACACAGAGATATGGTGTACCTGTAGACTGTTCGTCAGCCTGACACAGAGATATGGTGTACCTGTAGACTGTTCCTCATCCTACCATCTGTAACCATCGTTTGTCAACTGTACCATCTACTTCAATCTGTAACCATCGTCTGTCAACTGTGCCATCTACTACCATCGCCTGTCAACTTTACCATCTACTACCATCTGCAACCATCGTTTATCAACTGTTCCTCATCATACCATCTGCAACCATCGTTTTTCAACTGTTCCATTTACTACCATATATAACCATCGTTTGTTAACTGTACTATTTACTACCATCTATCACCATCGTTTGTCAACTGTACTATCTACTACCATCTGTAACCATCGTTTGTCAACTGTACCATCTACTACCATCTGTAACCATCGTTTGTCAACTACCATCTACTATCATCTGTAACTATCGTTTGTCAACTGTTCCATCTACTGTCATCTGTAACAATAGTTTGTCAACTGTACCATGTACTACCTTCTGTAACCATCGTCTGTCAACTGTACCATCTACTTCCACCTGTAACCATCGTTTTTCAACTGTACCATCTACTACCATCTGTAACCATCGCCTGTCAACTTTACCATCTACTACCACCTATAACCATCGTCTGTTACCTGTACCATCTACTTCCATCTGTAACCATCGTTTGTCAACTGTACCATCTACTATAAATTCAGATATTATTGCGTGCATTTATTATTGCGATTTTTGAAGAATGGACATAAATGCGAGATTAATTATTGCAATTTCAGGAAAAGCTGGATACAGATATATGCATCAGATATCAGAATGCGAGTTCTTATTGTTGTGATACTCACACAGTCGCATTATTCGCATTAATAAAAACCTCGCAATAATTTCTGAATTTACAGTACTACCATCTGTAACCATCGCCTGTCAACTTTACCATCTACTACCATCTGTAACCATCGTCTGTTACCTGTACCATCTACTACCATCTGCGACCATTGTATGTCAACTGTACCATCTACTACCACCTGCAACCATCGCCTGTCAACTGTACCATCTACTACAATCAGTCACCATCGTTTGTCAACTGTACCATCTACTACCACCTGCAACCATTGCCTGTCAACTGTACCATCTACTACCACCTGTACCCATCGTCTGTTACCTGTACCATCTACTTCCATCTGTAACCATCGTTTGTCAACTGTACTATCTACTATCATTTGTAACAATCTTTTATCAACTATACCATCTACTACAATCTGTCACCATCGTTTGTCAACTGTACCATCTACTACCATCTGTAACCATCGCCTGTCAACTTTACCATCTACTACCATGTGTAACCATCGTCTGTCAACTGTACCATCTACTTCCATCTGTAACCATCGTCTGTCAACTGTACCATCTACTTCCATCTGTAACCATAATCTGTCAACTGTACCATCTACTACCATCTGTAACCATCGTCTGTCTTCTGTACCATCTACTACCATCTGCAACCTTCGTTTGTCAACTGTACCATGTACTACCACCTGCAACCATCGCCTGTCAACTGTACCATCTGCTACCATCTGTACCGATCGTCTGTTACCTGTAACATCTACTTCCATCTGTAACCATCATTTGTCAACTGTACCATCTGTAACCATCGTTTGTCAACTGTACCATCTGTTACCATCGTTTGTCAACCGACTATCTACTACCATCTGTAACCATCGTTTGTCAACTGTTCCATCTATTACCATCTGTAACCATCGTCTGTCAACTGTACCATCTACTTCCATCTGTAACCATAATCTGTCAACTGTACCATCTACTACCATCTGTAACCATCGTCTGTCTACTGTACCATCTACTACCATCTGCAACCTTCGTTTGTCAACTGTACCATCTACTACCAATTGCAACCATCGTTTGTCAACTGTATCATCTACTACCACCTGCAACCATTGCCTGTCAACTGTACCATCTACTACAATCAGTCACCATCGTTTGTCAACTGTACCATCTACTACCACCTGCAACCATCGCCTTTCAACTGTACCATCTACTACCACCTGTACCCATCGTCTGTTACCTGTACCATCTACTTCCATCTGTAACCATCGTTTGTCAGCTGTACTATCTACTATCATTTGTAACAATCTTTTATCAACTATACCATCTACTACAATCTGTCACCATCGTTTGTCAACTGTACCATCTACTACCATCTGTAACCATCGCCTGTCAACTTTACCACCTACTACCATCTGTAACCATCGCCTGTCAACTGTACCATCTACTACAATCAGTCACCATCGTTTGTCAATTGTACCATCTACTACCACCTGCAACCATCGCCTGTCAACTGTACCATCTACTACCACCTGTACCCATCGTCTGTTACCTGTACCATCTACTTCCATCTGTAACCATCGTTTGTCAACTGTACTATCTACTATCATTTGTAACAATCTTTTATCAACTATACCATCTACTACAATCTGTCACCATCGTTTGTCAGCTGTACCATCTACTACCATCTGTAACCATCGCCTGTCAACTGTACCATCTACTACCATCTGCAACCATCGTTTGTCAACTGTATCATCTACTACCACCTGCAACCATCGCCTGTCAACTGTACCATCTACTACAATCAGTCACCATCATTTGTCAACTGTATCATCTACTACCACCTGCAACCATCGCCTGTCAACTGTACCATCTACTACAATCAGTCACCATCATTTGTCAACTGTACCATCTACTACCACCTGTACCCATCGTCTGTTACCTGTACCATCTACTTCCATCTGTTGCCATCGTTTGTCAACTGTACTATCTACTATCATTTGTAACAATCTTTTATCAACTATACCATCTACTACAATCTGTCACCATCGTTTGTCAACTGTACCATCTACTACCATCTGTAACCATCGCCTGTCAACTGTACCATCTACTACCATCTGTAACCATCGTCTGTCTACTGTACCATCTACTACCATCTGCAACCTTCGTTTGTCAACTGTACCATGTACTACCACCTGCAACCATCGCCTGTCAACTGTATCATCTAATACCATCTGTAACCATCGTCTGTTACCTGTACCATCTACTACCATCTGTTACCATCGTTTGTCAACTATACCATCTACTACCATCTGTAACCACCGCCTGTCAACTGTACCATCTACTACCATCTGTAACCATCGTCTGTCTACTGTACCATCTACTACCATCTGCAACCTTCGTTTGTCAACTGTACCGTCTACTACCATCTGCAACAATCGTTTGTCAACTGTACCATGTACTACCACCTGCAACCATCGTTTGTCAACTGTACCATCTACTACCATCTGTACCCATCGTCTGTTACCTGTACCATCTACTTCCATCTGTAACCATCATTTGTCAACTGTACCATCTGTAACCATCGTTTGTCAACTGTACCATCTGTTACCATCGTTTGTCAACTGTACCATCTACTACCATCTGTAACCATCGTTTGTCAACTGTTCCATCTATTACCATCTGTAACCATCGTCCGTCAACTGTACCATCGACTTCCATCTGTAACCATAATCTGTCAACTGTACCATCTACTACCATCTGTAACCATCGTCTGTCTACTGTACCATCTACTACAATCAGTCACCATCATTTGTCAACTGTACCATCTACTACCACCTGCAACCATCGCCTTTCAACTGTACCATCTACTACCACCTGTACCCATCGTCTGTTACCTGTACCATCTACTTCCATCTGTAGCCATCGTTTGTCAACTGTACTATCTACTATCATTTGTAACAATCTTTTATCAACTATACCATCTACTACAATCTGTCACCATCGTTTGTCAACTGTACCATCTACTACCATCTGTAACCATCGCCTGTCAACTGTACCATCTACTACCATCTGTAACCATCGTCTGTCTACTGTACCATCTACTACCATCTGCAACCTTCGTTTGTCAACTGTACCATGTACTACCACCTGCAACCATCGCCTGTCAACTGTATCATCTAATACCATCTGTAACCATCGTCTGTTACCTGTACCATCTACTACCATCTGTTACCATCGTTTGTCAACTATACCATCTACTACCATCTGTAACCATCGCCTGTCAACTGTACCATCTACTACCATCTGTAACCATCGTCTGTCTACTGTACCATCTTCTACCATCTGCAACCTTCGTTTGTCAACTGTACCGTCTACTACCAACTGCAACAATCGTTTGTCAACTGTACCATGTACTACCACCTGCAACCATCGTTTGTCAACTGTACCATCTACTACCATCTGTACCCATCGTCTGTTACCTGTACCATCTACTTCCATCTGTAACCATCGTTTGTCAACTGTACCATCTGTAACCATCGTTTGTCAACTGTACCATCTGTTACCATCGTTTGTCAACTGTACCATCTACTACCATCTGTAACCATCGTTTGTCAACTGTTCCATCTATTACCATCTGTAACCATCGTCTGTCAACTGTACCATCGACTTCCATCTGTAACCATAATCTGTCAACTGTACCATCTACTACCATCTGTAACCATCGTCTGTCTACTGTACCATCTACTACCATCTGCAACCTTCGTTTGTCAACTGTACCATCTACTACCATCTGCAACCATCGTTTGTCAACTGTATCATCTACTACCACCTGCAACCATCGCCTGTCAACTGTACCATCTACTACCATCTGTACCCATCCTCTGCTACCTGTACCATCTACTTCCATCTGTAACCATCGTTTGTCAACTGTACTATCTACTATCATCTGTAACAATCGTTTGTCAACTGTACCATCTACTACCATCTGTCACCATCGTTTGTCAACTGTACCATCTACTACCACCTGCAACCATCGCCTGTCAACTGTATCATCTAATACCATCTTTAACCATCGTCTGTTACCTGTACCATCTACTACCATCTGTTACCATCGTTTGTCAACTATACCATCTACTACCATCTGTAACCATCGTCTGTCAACTGTACCATCTACTACCATCTGTAACCATTGTTTGTCAACTGTACCATCTTCTATCATCTGTAACCATCGTTTGTCAACTGTACCATCTACTATCATCTGTAACCATCGTTTGTCATCTGTACCAACTTCTACCATCTCTAACCATCGTTTGCCAACTGCACCATCTACTATCATCTGTAACCATCGTTTGTCAACTATACCATCTACTACCAACTGTAACCATCGTCTGTCTAATGTACCATCTACTACCATCTGTAACCATCGCCTGTCAACTGTACCATCTACTACCATCTGCAACCATCGTTTGTCAACTGTATCATCTACTACCACCTGCAACCATCGCCTGTCAACTGTACCATCTACTACAATCAGTCACCATCATTTGTCAACTGTATCATCTACTACCACCTGCAACCATCGCCTGTCAACTGTACCATCTACTACAATCAGTCACCATCATTTGTCAACTGTACCATCTACTACCACCTGTACCCATCGTCTGTTACCTGTACCATCTACTTCCATCTGTAGCCATCGTTTGTCAACTGTACTATCTACTATCATTTGTAACAATCTTTTATCAACTATACCATCTACTACAATCTGTCACCATCGTTTGTCAACTGTACCATCTACTACCATCTGTAACCATCGCCTGTCAACTGTACCATCTACTACCATCTGTAACCATCGTCTGTCTACTGTACCATCTACTACCATCTGCAACCTTCGTTTGTCAACTGTATCATGTACTACCACCTGCAACCATCGCCTGTCAACTGTATCATCTAATACCATCTGTAACCATCGTCTGTTACCTGTACCATCTACTACCATCTGTTACCATCGTTTGTCAACTATACCATCTACTACCATCTGTAACCACCGCCTGTCAACTGTACCATCTACTACCATCTGTAACCATCGTCTGTCTACTGTACCATCTACTACAATCTGCAACCTTCGTTTGTCAACTGTACCGTCTACTACCATCTGCAACAATCGTTTGTCAACTGTACCATGTACTACCACCTGCAACCATCGTTTGTCAACTGTACCATCTACTACCATCTGTACCCATCGTCTGTTACCTGTACCATCTACTTCCATCTGTAACCATCATTTGTCAACTGTACCATCTGTAACCATCGTTTGTCAACTGTACCATCTGTTACCATCGTTTGTCAACTGTACCATCTGTTACCATCGTTTGTCAACTGTACCATCTACTACCATCTGTAACCATCGTTTGTCAACTGTACCATCTACTACCATCTGTACCCATCGTCTGTTACCTGTACCATCTACTTCCATCTGTAACCATCATTTGTCAACTGTACCATCTGTAACCATCGTTTGTCAACTGTACCATCTGTTACCATCGTTTGTCAACTGTACCATCTACTACCATCTGTAACCATCGTTTGTCAACTGTTCCATCTATTACCATCTGTAACCATCGTCCGTCAACTGTACCATCGACTTCCATCTGTAACCATAATCTGTCAACTGTACCATCTACTACCATCTGTAACCATCGTCTGTCTACTGTACCATCTACTACAATCAGTCACCATCATTTGTCAACTGTACCATCTACTACCACCTGCAACCATCGCCTTTCAACTGTACCATCTACTACCACCTGTACCCATCGTCTGTTACCTGTACCATCTACTTCCATCTGTAGCCATCGTTTGTCAACTGTACTATCTACTATCATTTGTAACAATCTTTTATCAACTATACCATCTACTACAATCTGTCACCATCGTTTGTCAACTGTACCATCTACTACCATCTGTAACCATCGCCTGTCAACTGTACCATCTACTACCATCTGTAACCATCGTCTGTCTACTGTACCATCTACTACCATCTGCAACCTTCGTTTGTCAACTGTACCATGTACTACCACCTGCAACCATCGCCTGTCAACTGTATCATCTAATACCATCTGTAACCATCGTCTGTTACCTGTACCATCTACTACCATCTGTTACCATCGTTTGTCAACTATACCATCTACTACCATCTGTAACCATCGCCTGTCAACTGTACCATCTACTACCATCTGTAACCATCGTCTGTCTACTGTACCATCTTCTACCATCTGCAACCTTCGTTTGTCAACTGTACCGTCTACTACCAACTGCAACAATCGTTTGTCAACTGTACCATGTACTACCACCTGCAACCATCGTTTGTCAACTGTACCATCTACTACCATCTGTACCCATCGTCTGTTACCTGTACCATCTACTTCCATCTGTAACCATCGTTTGTCAACTGTACCATCTGTAACCATCGTTTGTCAACTGTACCATCTGTTACCATCGTTTGTCAACTGTACCATCTACTACCATCTGTAACCATCGTTTGTCAACTGTTCCATCTATTACCATCTGTAACCATCGTCTGTCAACTGTACCATCGACTTCCATCTGTAACCATAATCTGTCAACTGTACCATCTACTACCATCTGTAACCATCGTCTGTCTACTGTACCATCTACTACCATCTGCAACCTTCGTTTGTCAACTGTACCATCTACTACCATCTGCAACCATCGTTTGTCAACTGTATCATCTACTACCACCTGCAACCATCGCCTGTCAACTGTACCATCTACTACCATCTGTACCCATCCTCTGCTACCTGTACCATCTACTTCCATCTGTAACCATCGTTTGTCAACTGTACTATCTACTATCATCTGTAACAATCGTTTGTCAACTGTACCATCTACTACCATCTGTCACCATCGTTTGTCAACTGTACCATCTACTACCACCTGCAACCATCGCCTGTCAACTGTATCATCTAATACCATCTTTAACCATCGTCTGTTACCTGTACCATCTACTACCATCTGTTACCATCGTTTGTCAACTATACCATCTACTACCATCTGTAACCATCGTCTGTCAACTGTACCATCTACTACCATCTGTAACCATTGTTTGTCAACTGTACCATCTTCTATCATCTGTAACCATCGTTTGTCAACTGTACCATCTACTATCATCTGTAACCATCGTTTGTCATCTGTACCAACTTCTACCATCTCTAACCATCGTTTGCCAACTGCACCATCTACTATCATCTGTAACCATCGTTTGTCAACTATACCATCTACTACCAACTGTAACCATCGTCTGTCTAATGTACCATCTACTACCATCTGTAACCATCGCCTGTCAACTGTACCATCTACTACCATCTGCAACCATCGTTTGTCAACTGTATCATCTACTACCACCTGCAACCATCGCCTGTCAACTGTACCATCTACTACAATCAGTCACCATCATTTGTCAACTGTACCATCTACTACCACCTGTACCCATCGTCTGTTACCTGTACCATCTACTTCCATCTGTAGCCATCGTTTGTCAACTGTACTATCTACTATCATTTGTAACAATCTTTTATCAACTATACCATCTACTACAATCTGTCACCATCGTTTGTCAACTGTACCATCTACTACCATCTGTAACCATCGCCTGTCAACTGTACCATCTACTACCATCTGTAACCATCGTCTGTCTACTGTACCATCTACTACCATCTGCAACCTTCGTTTGTCAACTGTACCATGTACTACCACCTGCAACCATCGCCTGTCAACTGTATCATCTAATACCATCTGTAACCATCGTCTGTTACCTGTACCATCTACTACCATCTGTTACCATCGTTTGTCAACTATACCATCTACTACCATCTGTAACCACCGCCTGTCAACTGTACCATCTACTACCATCTGTAACCATCGTCTGTCTACTGTACCATCTACTACCATCTGCAACCTTCGTTTGTCAACTGTACCGTCTACTACCATCTGCAACAATCGTTTGTCAACTGTACCATGTACTACCACCTGCAACCATCGTTTGTCAACTGTACCATCTACTACCATCTGTACCCATCGTCTGTTACCTGTACCATCTACTTCCATCTGTAACCATCATTTGTCAACTGTACCATCTGTAACCATCGTTTGTCAACTGTACCATCTGTTACCATCGTTTGTCAACTGTACCATCTACTACCATCTGTAACCATCGTTTGTCAACTGTTCCATCTATTACCATCTGTAACCATCGTCCGTCAACTGTACCATCGACTTCCATCTGTAACCATAATCTGTCAACTGTACCATCTACTACCATCTGTAACCATCGTCTGTCTACTGTACCATCTACTACAATCAGTCACAATCATTTGTCAACTGTACCATCTACTACCACCTGCAACCATCGCCTTTCAACTGTACCATCTACTACCACCTGTACCCATCGTCTGTTACCTGTACCATCTACTTCCATCTGTAGCCATCGTTTGTCAACTGTACTATCTACTATCATTTGTAACAATCTTTTATCAACTATACCATCTACTACAATCTGTCACCATCGTTTGTCAACTGTACCATCTACTACCATCTGTAACCATCGCCTGTCAACTGTACCATCTACTACCATCTGTAACCATCGTCTGTCTACTGTACCATCTACTACCATCTGCAACCTTCGTTTGTCAACTGTACCATGTACTACCACCTGCAACCATCGCCTGTCAACTGTATCATCTAATACCATCTGTAACCATCGTCTGTTACCTGTACCATCTACTACCATCTGTTACCATCGTTTGTCAACTATACCATCTACTACCATCTGTAACCATCGCCTGTCAACTGTACCATCTACTACCATCTGTAACCATCGTCTGTCTACTGTACCATCTTCTACCATCTGCAACCTTCGTTTGTCAACTGTACCGTCTACTACCAACTGCAACAATCGTTTGTCAACTGTACCATGTACTACCACCTGCAACCATCGTTTGTCAACTGTACCATCTACTACCATCTGTACCCATCGTCTGTTACCTGTACCATCTACTTCCATCTGTAACCATCGTTTGTCAACTGTACCATCTGTAACCATCGTTTGTCAACTGTACCATCTGTTACCATCGTTTGTCAACTGTACCATCTACTACCATCTGTAACCATCGTTTGTCAACTGTTCCATCTATTACCATCTGTAACCATCGTCTGTCAACTGTACCATCGACTTCCATCTGTAACCATAATCTGTCAACTGTACCATCTACTACCATCTGTAACCATCGTCTGTCTACTGTACCATCTACTACCATCTGCAACCTTCGTTTGTCAACTGTACCATCTACTACCATCTGCAACCATCGTTTGTCAACTGTATCATCTACTACCACCTGCAACCATCGCCTGTCAACTGTACCATCTACTACCATCTGTACCCATCCTCTGCTACCTGTACCATCTACTTCCATCTGTAACCATCGTTTGTCAACTGTACTATCTACTATCATCTGTAACAATCGTTTGTCAACTGTACCATCTACTACCATCTGTCACCATCGTTTGTCAACTGTACCATCTACTACCACCTGCAACCATCGCCTGTCAACTGTATCATCTAATACCATCTTTAACCATCGTCTGTTACCTGTACCATCTACTACCATCTGTTACCATCGTTTGTCAACTATACCATCTACTACCATCTGTAACCATCGTCTGTCAACTGTACCATCTACTACCATCTGTAACCATTGTTTGTCAACTGTACCATCTTCTATCATCTGTAACCATCGTTTGTCAACTGTACCATCTACTATCATCTGTAACCATCGTTTGTCATCTGTACCAACTTCTACCATCTCTAACCATCGTTTGCCAACTGCACCATCTACTATCATCTGTAACCATCGTTTGTCAACTATACCATCTACTACCAACTGTAACCATCGTCTGTCTAATGTACCATCTACTACCATCTGTAACCTTTGTCTGTCTACTGTACCATCTACTACCACCTGAAACCATCGTTTGTCAACTGTTCAATCTACTACTAACTGTTACCATCGTTTGTGAACTGTACCAACTACTTCCATTTGTAACCATCGTTTGACAACTGTTACATCTACTACCAACTGTAACCATCGTCTGTCAACTGTTCCATCTACTTCCATCTGTAACCATCGTCTATCAACTGTCCCATCTACTACAATTTGTAACCATCGTTTTTCAACTATACCATCTACTACCAACTGTAACCATCGTCTGTCTACTGTATCATCTACTACCATCTGTAACCATCGTTTGTCAACTATACCATCTACTACCAACTGTAACCATCTTCGTCTACTGTATCATCTACTACCATCTGTAACCATCGTCTGTTTACTGTACCATCTACTACCATCTGTAACCATCGTTTGTCAACTGTACTCTCTTCTACCATCTGTAATCATCGTTTGTCAACTGTTTCATCTGCAACCATCTGTAACCA